CCCGCGCCCCTCTGCCCCCCGCGCCCTGGCCATGCCGGGCCTGGCAGGGCAGGGTGTGCGCTGGGCACTGGGAGCCCTGTCACCTCCCCCGTGCTGGCCCCGGGACCTGCAGGCCCCTCCCCACACACGTCGCGGGGGGGTGAAGCTGCACCCCTGCCTCCCTCCTCAGCTGCTGCTCAGAGGAAGCTGGGAGCTTCGTCCCACCACCCTTCAAAGCCAGGGGTCAGTTATTTTCTCTTCCCCTGGGTGTTTGACAGCCTCTCTGGGATGGGGACCAGTCCTGATGCATAATGACATGTCCTAATGCTGTGCCCAGACCCAGGGACACCTCCAGTATAATCTGACACTCCTGCTTTTCCCCTACACGCCACATTTTCACCACATTTTCGTTTTAGAGGCAACAGCTGAGAAAGAAGACTAAGTGACAGAAGCAGCAGAGGTGTTCCCTGACTGAGCCCTGCCCTGTGTAGGAGACGTCGTGTCCCTTCTAGACCTCAAAACACTCAACTCACAAGTGCTCAACTGAACCTATTACGACACGGGATCCAGCTGTGGACCAAGTGTCATCTCAGGACGTGGCACAAAGAAACAAGCCCCTGGTGAAGGCCACAGCAACTTCACACACAGCAATGTTCACAGCAAAGGACATGAAGATGTTTGAGCCAGGTCAGATAAAAACTGACAGCCTGGAGATGAAAAGAATCTCAACTGTCTTGGATAAAATGATTGACAAGCTGGAGCTGAGCGGTTTGATCCCAAGAATTATTGACTCTCTGGATAACTTTGCTGGTATTCTGGGACCTGAGATGATACACAACCTGAGTGAGCACCAGAAGCTTTCAAAGGAAGTGGAGCAGCTGCTTGCCAGCTCTGGAGAGAGGGACACCACGGGAGCTGAGCAGCAACCAGGCTGTCTCTGCTCACTAGAGCAACAGCTGAAACGTTCTCTTAGAAACATCCTGAGGCTCCTGCTGGTCAAACCTTCACTTTGCCAGGCTCTGAAACACCAAATTTTGGTGGGAGAGTCACCAGCTGAAGTATTTATCAAAGCCTTTGGGGAGTTCAGGAGTTTCATGCTTGAGAAACTCCTGATGAGTCCTGTGGAAGAGGAAGAAAAGATTGGATTAGAGGCAGACATCTCCCTCCGGATTAAGGACAACACTGAAGCAATTACAGCTTTACAGGCTGAGCTGGCAGCAGCAATCCAGACTCGAGATGAGGAGGTATGATATTGTGGGAATGTGATTTCCAACAAAACACTGCTGAAAGCTTTACTTTGGTAAGCTAAGACCCCACCCCCTTCTTGCAGATCCTAAGGAGGAAGGTCCAGGAATTATTTCTAGACCAGACCTTAAATTTGAAGATGCTGTTTTCATTGTAACATGAAAAATGCTTCTTGCATGTTTGTTTTTTTAAAAAACCTCGCGTTTGGCATGTTTTGAGCCTGTTTTCACTGGCCAAGGTGGGTGACACCAGGCAGTGAGCTCAGGAGGGAGCTGTGGGACCAAGGGCTGCAGTGCCAGCTGCCAGCACCAGGCTTCCCTCGCTGCTGCCGAGGTGAGGAAACGTCATTCCAGGCAGAGATTGCTCGGATTCAAATCCATTTTTAATGTCTTCTCTGCCTTCACTCTTGCTTGAAACCAGCATTTCTGGGACTCCCCACTCTGTAACTCTAGCTGCCTTAGAGCAATTATATGCAATTATATTAATTCATTTTTGTTCAGTGGCAGCTGAGGTACAGAGAAATGAAAGAGCATTTCCCAGGCTCCTGTGGGTCCCTGGGCTGTGCCAGCATCCAGCCCCCTGAGCTCCTGACAAGCAATCCTTTATTTTAAATGCAAGCCTTTCTTTCTCCTTCCTGCAAGTGGGGTGGGAGGGGAAGGTTTTGTCCTGTGCTCCCTGCACTGAATGGTGCCAATGCAGGCAAGGGCCTGTTTGCCCCTCCCTCCCTTGGAGATCTGTGAATCGAGACACTTAAGATGTTTATGTGCAGTTTGGCAGCTTGTCTGGGGCATCATAAATAAATGTTTCCCTGCTCACAGCTGAGGATCTCTCTGGCAGGCACCACACTGAGCTGTGTCCCCCTGACAGTCGCTCTGAGCCTAATCCAAAGCTGGAGAGAGACACAGGGCTCACTCACAGGTTTCCAAAGCACCCTGTGTAAATCTAACTCTGTTCCCTCAGCCAGCAGTGGCAAGTCCCTGTTGCTACCAGGTCAGCAGGGTCTCTTCTTGGTTCTCCTCCACCTTTGCCAGGTGCCTTTCTTCTCCTGCCCACATTGTGCCTCACTGGCATTACTTGACAGTATTTTTATCTTGTGTTCTGGGTCTAGATTCACAAGAAAGACAATGTGATCAAGGAGCTCAAAACAAGTGTGCAGGATCTTCCCAAAGACTGCAAGACCAGCACCCAGCAGATTGAGCAGGAAGGAGAAAAACCCCAGCAAGAGGAGCTGGAGGGCTCCCGGGCCAGGCGTGCCAGGCTGCAGGGGGAGGTGCAGCAGCTGGCAGCACAACTCCATGCACTTGAACAGGAGCATTGGTCATCAGAGCTGACTCTCAGAAAGGTAAATGGTAGGAGAGCTCTAGAACAGGAGATTAAAAACCTTTCCTAGTGCTGCCAGGTCTGGCTGTTGGCTGCTGCAAGTCATGACTTGGCTCCTGCTGGTTGCTGGCAGGACACACATGCTGGCTGTCAGAGTATACCTGCTCTGTCCTCACGCTCTCCTGATTCCAGTGGGAAGGAGCCCTGCAACCACTACACCAATTCAATGTCCCAGCCTGGGTAGGGCAACCCAGGGAAATTCATATTGGACCCCCTTGCTTTCTAAACTCCTCAGAGAGGGGTCCAGGTGTGGCTGGATCCAACCTTTGTCTCAGACCTGGCTCTTCCAGGAAGTGATTAAAATGTCAGGGTCTGAGGAAATGCTGAAGTGTCTGATCCCCCTTGATCAGACTGAGGTGAAAAGATACTCAAGGTCTGTATTTTAATTAGTTTTAATTAAAACTATCCCAAAATCACAGAATCTTAGGGGTTGGAAGGGACCTGGAAAGCTCCCCCAGCCCAACCCCCTGCCAGAGCAGGGGCACCCAGAGCACATCACACAGGAACGCACCCAGGTGGTTTTGAATGTCTCCAGAGAAGGAGACTCCACAACCTCTCTGGGCAGCCTGTCCCAGGGCTCTGTCACCCTCACAGGAAAGAAGTTTTTCCTCACATTTACGTGGGACCTCCTATGCTCCAGTTTGCACCCACTGCCCCTTGTCCTGTCACTGGATGTCCCTGAGAAGAGACATATACTATACAAAATATATTTATTGTCTTGGGCTGCATGATCATAAAGGCTGACATTTGCATCACAAGAGCACAACACATATGTTTAAGCTGCACAACCTGAGAAAAACATCATGGTTAGACTTTGTGTTACTTAATGATTTTAGGAAGAAAGAGAGAGTAGGAGTAGAAAAGTTTAGAGAGAGATAATAGAAAATTCCCAGACCTGGATCCAGCATGGGGCCAACAGAGGAGAGTTGGTGCTAGTGACGCTCCCCAGACCCCCCATTGCAGCCCCCAGTTTTATAGTCCTACTTTCCTTGTTTTCCAAGGATAAGCAAATGTGTTTTGAGTCATGAGACTGAGCAGCTGGAGTGGAGCTGCCCCCTCAGCTCCTTATCTCCATCCCTGTACCTGTAGGCTGCAGACAGGGAAGCCTCCTTCTCCTGCCTGGACTTAGCCCTGCAAACAGCTGCACACAGGCAGGTCAGTGCAGAGCAGCACTTCATGGAAGTGTGAGCAGCTCTTCAAGCCCTGAAGGCAGCTGAAGGCTTAAGGGTCTGGAAGCTAAGATGTGCAGATAGCTAGCTGTGGAGCCAACATGATGTTTGCTCTGCTTACCTCACACCCAAACCCTCCTTAACAGATTCCTTGCCTGTCCTGCTACAGCCTTGCTCAGAAAATGAACTCACATTCACCATGGTTTGCAAAAAGTCCTCCATACCATCAAAGTAAATCTGTCCTTATTATCTAAATATAATTATTGGAGAAACATTATTGTAGCTACACACTGTAGCCCGTAGGGTTGACTATAGTGCACTAAGTTCAGGGCTGAGTGCAGCTGATCCCTTTGCCCGTGTGCTCTTTGCTGCAGACACAAGCTGAGGAGCTGGGGTTGGGTTGAATGAGGGGAAATGGGATTTATCCCAGTGCTGAGCAGATAGGGAGGGAAGAAACAGGAGCAGCAGGGCAGGCATGAGCCTCTGTGACAACAGCTCAGCCCTGAGCAGAGCATGCTGGTGACACAGGGCACAGAGAATAGAACTGGAAAAAGAGCATTTTTGCCCTCATTTTGCTCCCACTGGGTATTTACTCCCCACAAGCACCGGCCTCCCTTGGGCAGGGCAGCACACAAGGGCTGAGGGCATTTCCCTCTTGCACTGGACAATGAAAAGCAAAGCAGCAGAGGGTCTGGGCAAGTTAGAGTGGCAGTACAAAAGCCCAAATCCACCCATTCACACCTCCTCCCAAGAGGTGGCTCTATCAGGCAGTGTTTTCCTGACCTGCAGGCCCCTGCGTGGCTTGTGGAGCTGTTCAGCTCATTCTAATGCTCAGGCAGAGATTTACTGACCACAAAGGCCTCCTCTCCCTCTTCTTAGCACCCAGCCCTGGGTGGGCCCAGGCTGTCCTTGTGGTCTAAATAGCTGAGGGCTGACCTCAGGATGGCCTGTGAGCCCCTGGGACTTCCTGGGTCAGTGTCATCCAGGAAAGCCTGTGGTTAGGGTTAGGGTTAGGGTTAGGGTTTAGGGTTAGGGTTAGGGTTTAGGGTTAGGGTTAGGGTTAGGGGTTAGGGTTAGGGACAGGGTTAGGGTTTAGGGTTAGGGTTAGGGTTAGGGTTAGGGTTAGGGGTTAGGGTTAGGGATGTAGCTGGTTCTTCTCATGATGGTTCCACAGAGCACAGATACAGCAGCTTGGGGCAAAGTGCCTGTACCTGGTTATACTGCAGCACAGCCACTGTTAAACTCTTTTGCAGCTAGAAGGATCTCTTTGGTGAAAAGGCACCATCTTTTGAGTACTTTCTGCCCTGCTTAAATGTTTAGCAGTTCTCTCTTGCTTCAGTTTTAGGGTGGTTGCTCCAGTTTGTCAATGACTTGCCACATTCCATCAGACATGCTCATTTCCTACCACAGAACACCCCTCTCAGAGGCATTTCAACCCCTCAGCCATCACCCAGCTCCCTGCTGTAAATAAATACGGCTCTTTTGGCCTCAGGGAACATTTCACGAGGATCCCCAAAGCAGGGCAAACAAAACAGTCTCGGCTTAAGGCAGCTTGCCACAAGGAGGAGGTGTTACACGCAGACACGAGCCTGGGGCTCCCAGCTCGGCTGTTGTCGAACTCGGGTTACTTTTCACCAGGCTTCAGGTGCCTGCAGGGAACCGATCTTGTTTTGTGTTTCAGAGGAAGAGCAGAATGGAGACGGAAATTGCGAACTGGATCCAGAAATATCACACGGACTTGGAAGAAAAACAGGTATCCACTTTCCAGCTCCCATCAGTTCAGGAGGGTACTGGTCCCAGTGGGCACCTGGCTCTTACCTATGAGGCTGTGGAAGTGAGGGGCAGTTTTTCATCCAGAAGTTCAGGTACTAGAAGCAAAGGTAGCTTTGTCCTGCCTACCTGCTCAGGAGTTCTCTGCTGCTTTGACTTCAGAAACAGTTACACTCACTGCTAAATCCCACAGTATCTGGGGGCAACGGGGTTGCCATGTTCTCATCACCCACCTGATGCTTGGGAACAGTATTTTCAATTTGCTTCAATCCCCAATCCTGCTGGCCCTCTCTGGTGTCCAAATCACCCTCCTGTTTCTGCTGCCCCTCTTGAGAGATGTCTCTCTCAAGTGCTAAGAAACCAAGCAGCCTGCACACTGTTGCCTTGGCATCCAACTTGACCACCTCAAGCTAGGAATCACATCAGATCCCCAGCCTCACCTCTGAGAAAGCCCTGCTTCCTTTCCTGTTCCTGCCCTACTTACAGAGATGGAGAAAAGCTGCTGGATGACTAACAAAGTAAAATGAGAGGCCTAGAAGCTGGCAGCTAATTGCAAGAAATTATCCCCCCTGGTCAAGTGTTTAACAATGTGATTATTTTGGTTTCCTGTCTGCTGAGTGGCTGGAGCACAATGTCACGGCAGGTTTGGGGCTGCTGAGGCAGATACACATCCATGCTGCTGGTTCCCCTTACCTTCCACCTCTGCATGGCTTCCTCAAAGGCATTAGGAGAGGCAAAAACTGCTGCTGAGCTTGGAAGTGCAGCAGCACCACTAGAACAGCCTGTCCTTGGGTCTTCTCATGCCTCAGCAGTGTACAGCTCAGCAGCCAGGCTCCAGTGCCCCTCACCTCAGCCTCACCCACCCTGCAGTGACATGTCCCTTTGCCCAGAGCATCTGCAGGAGGGGCTGTAACCTGCCTGTGGTACCTGCTCAGGGTGCCCAGCTTGGGGTGGGAGAACTATGGTGTAGTTTTCAGAGCACAAAGATACTAGGACCTGGCACCTCACGGAATTCCCTGGGTACTGGGCATACACCTCTTTTTGAGTCCCTATGAAAGGCTCAGCTCCCAGTGGTGGTTCTGCCTGGATTCAGGGTGGGTTGGTTGCACAGGGTGGGATGCACAGGGAGGAGCTGCTGAATGCCCTCAAAATGGCTGTACCTGGTATCTACTGTCTTCCTAGGCCGAGTATGATGAGCTTCAAGCTGCCTACGTTGAGGAGCAGGCCCAGCTGGTCCAGCTGACAGAGAAACACGCTGTGCTTTTCCAGGAGTATTCCCAGATTGAGGAGGAGCGAAGGCTACTTCAGGAAAAGAAGGACCAGGCTTTGCAGGAGTTCAAAACTATGACTCGTGCTGCCACCCTCATCCAGGCCTTCTGGAGGGGCTACTTTGTCCGGACCCTCCTCAAGTCAAAAAAGAAGAAGAAGGGCAAGGGCAAGGACAAGAAGGGCAAGAAATAAATCACAATGTATTTTCTTTCCTCCTGGCAAAGCTGCTGATTCTGCTGGGCCTGAGCTCTTCCAGAGAAAGGCATTAGATTTGAGAAAGCATTTGCATTAAGGCCTCCCGGGCTGCAGCTGCCTCTCACAGTTAGTTGGAGTATATTGAAGGAGCAGCATGAAGATGTCTCACCATGTCAGGTTTGGCTTTGCTACTCCTGCAAGGAGGATGATGCCTTCTGATGAAGAGACTGGGCCAGGAGTGCAGGTTGCTGCCTTGTCTCCTTGCCTTCACTCTCCTTGCTTATACCTTGTTTGTATGTCAGTGCCCTGTTCTGTTCTCATTGAAGTTGGCAATAAAATAACTCCTGGGGGCAGGGTGAGGCCCTTCATCTGACAGGGTTCTCCTCGTGTGGATTTGAGGGACTATTTTCCTTTCTACAGGAGGAAGCTGCAGCACCATTTCTCATCAGTGACAGCCCACAAGTCCTAGCTGAGCACCACCCCTGGCACTGCTGCCTTGGAAAGGGTGGGATGTGGCACAGCTCATCCTGAGACAAGCAGCAAACTCTGCCCTGCCTCATGTGATCCCTGTTTTGCCAGCACATTCTCCTCGGAGTCCCCCAGTGCCCGGAGAGCAGGGTTTTCCCTTTCCCAGGGGCACCAGTCAAGGGTTTTATTTCCATCCTCAGCCTCCCATTTTCAGGAGCCATGTAGCAACTTGGTATCTTGGTGCTCTGCACTTCCCTGCCTGCTGGGGCTGAGCCTGGAAACAGTCAAACAGGGGGTGCTGGGAATTTTTTGTTTAATTTTGTTGCAAAACCAGGCTGTTGTGTGACCAAAAAGGCCCAGGCACATATTTTTTTGCATTTAACAAGGCTGGGAGCAAACAGCATTTTGGATCCAAACTCCCAGGGACATTTCTTCACTCTGGGTTTCAGCAGCCCTGCCCTGCAGCCTCTTTTGTCAGGAGAGGGCAGTGATGCTGGCTTCAAAGCCCAGAGAGCCACCAGACTCCAGTCATCATCTTCTACCTCTGTTCATAACCTCTGAACCTCTGAACAGAGGTTATGAACCTCTGTTCATAAGTGAGTTCCTGCAGGAGAAGGGGTGAGATGCTTTTTTACCACTAAGTCAGACAGGGCCCATTTTGCTAAGGATGAAGAGTCACTGGAGATGTTCAAGGCTCAGCAGAGTCCTGAACAAGGGCCTGGCAGATTTATCCTTGACTCTTGGGGAAAAGTCATAACATGCTCAATACACATACTGGGATTTCTGCTCTCCTATGTCCAATCTAGTGCAGAGCTCAATCCCAAGTGGGTGCTGGAATCACTGAGGAATCACAAGGATGGGACAGGCAGGATCAGAGGAGGCCTCAGTCTCCTTGGACATTTTTTCCCTTGTTTGTGGCCACAAGAGATGTCAGGATCCATGGAGACTCTCAGATGGTAGTACCCGTGTGGGTAGTTTGGAGTGTACTTGCTCTTCAGTTTACAAACACCTGGACATGCTTTTAGATTAGAGGATCTTGTGGTGTTGCAAGGGCTGTTAGAGAAAGATTTCAATGTCTCCCTTCTCAGAGTTTGTCTAAAACATCCAGATGTTGCCTCCAGATGTTGAAACTCTCCTGACAGGAGAGGTGTTCAGCTGGGTGACATGGGACCATGCCAGTCTTCTGTATCCAAAGGACTGTTCCCAGACATAGGATGTGCCCTTAGGAGCTGCCTCAGTGTCTGGTGGTGCCAGAGGTGCTGGTGCTCATGGCTGAAGGACTCTCAGGGGCTTCTCTTTAGAAGGGGAAGAAATGCTCAGCTAGCTTCAGGGGGACAGAAGCAGCTCTGTCTCGGGCAGTGGATGGAGTTTGCCTTCTTTCTTCACCCGAGGGGCTGCTTAGCCCAGATCCTCAGGCTTGGAGCCAAGTGTGCTCACTGGACATGTTCCCAGGGTCTGTGTCAGGAGGAACCCCTTCACCCACTGCTCACTGCATGGCCAGCCCAGCCCCTCATCTCCCTGCTCAGCCTCCAGCCAGCTGCTCAGTGCTGATGGAGCTTGTTCATGAGACCTTTATCTCTGCTTGCCACCAGCCTGCTGGGACTCCTGAGGTGCTGTGGGGATCCCCACGTGCCTCGTGTCACCCTGCCTGCTCCCCCCCAGGGCAGCAGCACAGCCCCTCTGCCCTGCAGGGCTGCACAGCCCACCTGCCACAAAAGGCAGAGACTGGCTGGTGCCAGGAGACTGTCCAGGTGTTTGGAAACTGAAGAGCCTCCCTCCTGATGCAAATACCCCCCAAACTTACCTGTGCAGTTCCAACATCTGAGAGTCTCCACGGATCCTGTGGCCACAAACAAGGGAAGAAGTGTCTGAAGAGAGGGGGGGCCCCAGCAGCCCCCGGCCGGGCTGGGGGGTGTCAGGGCTGGGGGGTGTCAGGGCTGAGGGTGTCAGGGCTGGGGGTGACAGGGCTGGGGGTGTCAGGGCTGGGGGGGGGCCGGGCT